TGTCTGCCATCCATTTTACACACACACACACACACATGCACGCGCGCACACACACACACACTGGCAATGAAAGACAGAAAAAAGTTGGGAATAAAAAAGAATAGTTGCTAACATATTATGTAAAATGGATCTAGCCAGAAGGAGCCGAGAACTTAACTCTGTTTATCACTTCTACCAAACTATGTGATTGAGAGAAAAATCAGTAGATTTTTCTGTGCATTCAAGAATTTTCCCTCTCAACAATTAAACCTTCCTTCCTCCGCATTGCCTTCAAACCTCTCAGCCATTAAGAAGAAAATTTGGAATTTGGAAATATAAAATGCAGTGGAACTTCATGAAAATAGTAAACAGGGAAACAAAATGCTCTATAGATAAGAACTAAATCTAAATAAAATACTTACATCTAAATGAACGCTTAATTAATTTTCAAAATATATGGAGTGCTCATACAACTCAACAAAAGGAAGACAAAGAACCCAGTTAAAAAAATGGGCAAAGGAACTAAATAGACTCCTCTCCAAACAGGACATACAAATGGCTAAAAGACATATGAAGAAATGCTCAACATCACTAATCATCAGAAAGATGCAAATTAAAACAACAATGAGGTATCACCTCACACCTGTCAGAATGGCCGCCATCAACAAATCATCAAACAACAAGTGTTGGCGAGGGTGTGGAGAAAAGGGGACTCTAGTACACTGCTGGTGGGAATGCAGACTGGTGCAGCCACTATGGAAAACAATATGGTGTTACCTCAAAAAATTAAAAATTTAACTTCCATTTGACCCAGTGATCCCACTTCTAGGAATATACCCTGAGAAGCCTGAAACACCAGTCAGGAAGAATATATGTACCCCCATATTCATAGCAGCACTATTTACAATAGCTAAGATCTGGAAACAGCCCAAGTGTCCATCAGTAGATGAATAGATAATAAAGTGGTGGTACATATACACAATGGAGTACTATGCAGCTGTAAGAAAGAAAGATCTCTCATCCTTTGAGATGACATGGAGGGACCTGAAAAGTATTATCCTAAGTGAAACAAGCCAAACAGAGAAAGACAAGTATCATATGATCTCACTTATTTGTGGAATATAATGAACATAACAGTCTGAGGAATGGGGTAGTCCCAGAGACATGGAAGTGGAGTACAGAATGACAATCCCCAGAAGAGAGAATGGGGGGGGGAGATAAACCACAGAACTTATATGCATGTATGCATGAACAGTAGACACGGACAACAAAGCTGAGGACAGGGCAGAGAGGGAGGGGGAGGGGGAATCAGTGGGGGGAAAAAGGAGAAACATCTGTAACAAAAATAAATTAATTAATTACAAAAAAGTAAATAAATGAACGCTTAAATAAATACTTGCTATTTTATAGTATCCAGGAATCCAAATACATTGTTATTAGCACGTCACATAAAATCACATACTTATATTGGTCCTATGTTCCTGTCAAATGTAATGCTTTCAGTATCATAGTTTATATTCCTATTTTTTTTTTCCTCATCTCATAAAAAATCATATGGTTTGATTTGAAATAGCATGGTGTAAATCCGGGGAAGCAACTAGGAAAAATTGTATTCATATAAAGAATAAAAGATAGTAACATGACTCATCAAATAAAAATTCTGGTGTTAGCCCTGGCCAGTTTTGCTCAGTGGTCAGAGCATGGGCCTGTGGTCCAGAGAGACCTGGGTTTGGTTCCCGCTAAGGGCACGTACCTCGGTTGCAGTTTGTCCCTGGCCATAGTTGAGGTCATGCAGGTGGCAGCTACTCGATGTGTCTCTCTTGCATCGATGTTTCTCTCTCTTCCCCCCTCTCTCCTTCCTCCTCTATCTCAAGATAAATGCAGAAAAAAAAATGTCCTTGGGTGAAGATAGAAAAAAAAATTCTGCTGTTATCTCATATATCTATAATATAATACTGGTAGAAATGGTGCACATGGTTGTGTTTGATACATTTGTGTACGTGTACATACATTTACACAGGTAGACATATAGTCTGTTTCTCCAGCTGCAATAACTGAACATGTTACAAATTTTCAGTGATTTGAAAGAGCCGTATGCGCTTATATTGAGTATATAATGCGTAGATGCTATCTACTTCCAAGTAAGAATGTGCTCATCACACATAATTTAAAGGAATTCCCTTAGGATAATAAATGACTATCCCTACACATTCACTTTTTGGAATAACAAGGAATTGGCCTGAATGATCTAGACCAGTGGTTCTCAAACTGTGGGTCACAACCCCTTTGGGGGTTGAATGACCCTTTCACAGGGGTCGCCTAAGACTATCAGAAAACAAAATTACAGTTATGAAGTAGCAACAAAAATAATTTTAAGGTTGGGGGTCACTGGTCTGGACTGTTGGTTAGATTCAAGCCCACAGCAGGCTTTCACTCAAAGCAGAGACTGAGTATTATTGGTTGGTGGATACTACTACCTGTAGTAGGACTTGGGCAGCAAAATAGAAGTCAATAAAATAATTTTTTCCCAGCATTAAGACTGAAGGCAAGGACCATGTCTGTGTTGGATGTGTATTCCTAGGGTATCACACAGCAGCTGCTACCTAAGAGGTACCTCCACAATGCTGTGACCGTTATTTTAAAAACTGGTACCTAAATCACTGAGTTATGTCCCGAAAATCTACTAATACATTGTAAACTGTTTCTTTGCTTGAATAGGGAGAAGATCCAATTTATTCGCACCGAAGGGACCCCAGGATTGGTGCGTCTTTCAAGTGATGCAGACCTTGTGATGTTGCTGAGGTATGTGACACTAGTTCTTGAACTAGAAAGTCTCTGGAGCATTTTAGGAAATAATATGACAATATTGGTACCCTAAAAAGTTCCCCTTTATTTTTGAAGACTTGTGGAATGAATACTCATGTTGAAGATGTGGATGCTGGTGTTGTGATCATTCATTTCAGATTGCATTTTTTATCATGGAGATGTTTGATTTTGTTTGTACCCTGCTGATAAAGGAGGTGGTGTTAGAGAAGGGAGGTGGTGTGGTGTGGAGGCCAATGGATGGAATGTTCTAGTCACAGAATGGAACAGAAGAGTATACACAGCTTACCCCTTCAGAGTAGAAGAGGTCATGTTTACATTTTCTTTCAGATTTTTTTTTTTATCCTTACCCGAGGACTTTTTTTGCATTTATCTTCAGATAGAGTGGGAGGGAGAGAGGGGGGAAGAGAGAGAGAGAAACATCGATGTGAGAGAGACACATCGACTTGTTGCCACCCACACAACCACAACCGGGGCCGGGGACAATCTACAACCAAGGTACATGCCCTTAGCGGGAACTGAACCCAGGACTCTGGTCCACAGGCTGACGCTGTAACAGCTGAGCCAAACTGGCCAGGGCTCTTTCAGATTTTTTGCTTAAATTGTGCTTTGTCCCCTTTTGCTGATTCAATAATATTTATTTACTTGCTGGTTTTCAGAGTTTAGGTTTCGAAAATCAGATCAAGATGAAATTTGGTCACTGGTACTCACTGCCAACTTGATAGCCCTTCATAAACTTGATCAACGGTATTTTCTTTATGGATTGTTAGATCGGCTTTGGTTTTCAATTTTAAAGTAGAAAATAGCAAGTTTTCAAAAGCTTCTTTTATTTTATTTATTTATTGATTTTTTTTTTTTTTTAAGAGAGGAAGGGAGAGAGAGATAGAAACATTGATGTGAGAGAGAAACATTGATTGGCTGCCTCCTGCCTCCACTACTGGGGATCCAGTCTGAAACCTGGGCCTGTGCCCTGACCAGGAATCAAACCAGGACCTCTCAGTCCATGGGAGGATGCTCAATCCACTGAGCCACACCGGCTGGGCCTTGTTTTTTGTTTTTTTAATATTATCCTTCAAATGCAGGAGGCCATAGTAAAATAATTCTTGCCCTACCCAGCGGTTGGTACACCCCACCACTGTAACCTCCACAGAATTAAAAGTAAAGTCATGCTGAGCCATATCAGGCAATGTTTCATTGATCCCAGAGTGCTAATGGTATCATTCATGTTATTCATAATGACCTTGACCCTAACCATTGCTAACTGCCCACTTGATAGTTACCATATTTTAAAAACTAAAGCCAAAAACTTCTTTTCCTTTACTGGATATTTGGAGCATAGTTCAAAGGGATATATTCATTTCCCACAGAGACTTTATTTCACTTGGCTCTCTGAATAAGACCTAGGGAGAGGGGTTTATTTTTCTGTCAAGAAGGTGACCTTTGATTATGGTGTATTGAGCTAGTTCTGAAAAGAAGATATACTATGCTTGATGGTCAGGAAGACTATTGGTCAAGTAATATACAGTGTGAGGTTTGGTCGGTAATAAAATAGTAAGTTTTGTTACAAAATTATGGCTAGGATATTACTCTGTCACTTCATTCTAGAAATCTAGGGTTTTTCATTAAAACTAAAGAATTCTACTTTTGGTATTAGTAAAAACAAAAACAATCACAAAACAGAAACATGATTATCATTCACATGTCCTTAGTTAAATTATCTTTAGACGGTATGATCCTAAATATGTTAAGTTACCATATAGATTAGAATATTTGTACTTAAGTAAACACCATAGTTTACATGAGTTTCTATGTGTTATATGGTAGAATTTTAAAGTATTTGAAAAAATGATATATACAAGGCTACATTTTCTCTCATTTGAGGAAATAAGCATGTTCTCTGAAGTTAATGAGCCTTTGAAAAAGCATGAGAAATTCATTTATATGTAATAGTTCTATAATTATTACAATAGAAATGATGTTTTTCAGTTCTAGACTTACTTAATTTAATCAAATGTATTTATTATTTTAATAATTATACACAGTGACACAATTACTTGTTCATGCTTTAAAATAATATTTAATGATTATTGAAAATTTAGGGATATCCTCAGTTCTTTACTTTTTATTTTACTTTGGAGTTTGAGTCATTTGAAACAGTGACTATGAACTAAAGCAATGGATTTGTTGCGAACATAGGGGAAGACTTTGTGCCTGATTTTATACTTTGTCTATTTCATAAAAAGGAAAATCACTCCTGGTACAAATGGACTTGATTGTCAGCAAGCTGCAATGTAGAGATGATCCAGCTCTAGGAAATGATTCAATTCAAAATAAACCTATGTAAGGACATTTTCCAATATAGACATTATACAACTCACGAATTTTTAAAAGACCTTGCTGCATTTGTTATTATTCTATTTCATATATTATTTCACTAAGTCAACTCATGTGAAAAAAAAATCTCTTTTAGAGTTCATATAGGAAATGACTAATAAATTTGGCTACATTCGAATTTTAAAATTTACATAATGAAAGACCAAATATAAAAACATAAAGTTAACAAACTAGAAGACTATATTCACAACACATAATAAATATCATAAATACATAAAGAATGCCTTTAAATCAATTTAAAAGAAGAAACCCAAAAGAAAAATGGGTAAAGGATATAAAAAGGCATTTCATAGAAATTGAAGCAATAATAGCCAGTATACTTATGGAAAGATGCTAGCAATCATAAAATGCAATTTCAAATAATAAGATATTATTTCACAGTATTAGATTTGAAAAAATCAAAAACCAGATAAAACCAAGTGATAAATAGGAATTCTCATATTGCCTGGACTTGGTGGGATTGCAATTTTTTAGGACCTCTTCAGAATACAATTTGACAATATTTTATATAGTTGAAAAGGCATCTGCATTATGACTAAGCATTTCTAATTTTAAATATATTACCATATTTACACTAAGAAACTCTTTTACATATATACAAGGTGATATATGCAGGATGATCATTGCACCATTATTGATAAAAGCACAAAGTTGAAGGAGAAGTAAATATTTGTCAAAGGAGATATGGACAAGTAAACTGTTTTGTTCATAGAATGACCTACTGCATGGCAGGTAAAAATAATAAACTATCCTTATATATCAACATAGATATCAGAATTATATTGTTGAACAGAATGTTCAAGAAAGCTATGTACATATAGCTATTGTAATTTTTAGCAGTGCATTAGGCAAAACTATGTATTGTTCATCTATACATATATGTTGCAAAATACAAAACTATGGAAGGATACCTCTTCAAGTCATGATAGAGGAGAACAAAAGGCACTTCATATGCACACTTGCACACGTGCAGATATATATGCACTTATGTGTGTATATATACAAATCTGTAGGTATGCATGTGTGTTCGTCTGAAGTAAAAATAATTATGTTAACATTTATTAAAACTGGAACACAGACGTAGATGTCTGAGGAGAGGGTGCTAATTCCTACTCTACGATTAATATAGCTATATCTTTGTGGTAGCAACTGTTACATGGGACTTTTCATTAGCAATTAATTTTAAATTCACATTATTTCAATGGCTATTGATTTACTGAAAAAGAGAAATAACTGTTTCTGGGTTTAATGTGGTATTAAAAATATGATCACTTACTGTGTCTGTTTCCAAATTTTCTAACTTCTGTAGTTTAAAAGTGGAGAGATAACTTTAAAAAATATCATGTCTAAAAATGCTTTTGCTACAATGGTTGGTTTAGCTGACATGTGGATGAAGAACGAGGGAAAGACTTACCGAGTTGTTATTGCATTGCTGTAACCCGGGATTTCTTAGTCTCAGAAGTATTGACCTTGTGGGCTGGGTATGTCTGTGTATTGTAAGATGTTTATCAGCATCCTGGCCTCTACCCACTAGATACCAAAAGCACCCCCTCTTCCCAGTTATGGCAACCACAAATGTCCTCAAACATTGCCAGATGTCCTGGGACAGTGTGGGGAAGGGCAAAATTGCCTCGGTAGACAACCAGCACTTTAGTCCTTGGCAGTCCTTTCTTTACAAGATTAAACTGTTGCCACTTTTTCTGAATTTCTTCTGAAAACAAGTAACAAGTTTCTAGATTTGGCCAAGTTTAAAGGAAACCTACTTCCACCTCTTAATTTAAAAACTCTTTTATTGTTGTTCTAATTCTATTTTAAGTGTTTGTATATTTGAGCTTAGCGTAATCAATACTGCTTTTCATTATCATAATATTTATGATATTATGGGACTCCAAGATATCACATATCTGCTTACTATCTTTTAGAAGACTATTAGAAACAGAAGATACTGGATTGAATAATCTAACATCAAAACCCTCACATTTGAAAAACATTATAAAGCCAGAGTAAACGAGGGAGCTAATTATTTAGGAGGTATTTTGCTTTATTTTTCTTTTACCTCTCCATTTAAAGCTTAAGCTTTGAAGGCTGAGACTGCTGTCTGTTTCTTGGCATGAAGATATAAAACATACTTTGTGTATCCATATGGGTTCTGACTAAATGTCTGTTGTGTTTGAATCTTATTCCCAAATTTAAAAAACCAGGTACTATTTCAAACCAACATGTAAACTCAAACTCACAGATTAAAGTGGCAAAACAGAACTTACGTTGTCCAAAGTTGATAGGAAAACAGACAAGTAACCACAGGTTTCACAAAAGCGGCAGCAGCCAGCCAGCCTGTCCGGAGAGTTACCGGCAGGGCCGAGGCTCCCTGTGGGATGTGGACTAGACCTCAGGTGCGATGGGTCAGAACGAGAGCTGGAGATCGACTGTCTTACTCATTGTGGAAACAAGGCTTTCCCCACCTCACCCGCTAAAGTACGCATTTTGTTTCTTGTTTTTCCCCAGTTTATTTGAAGAAGAGATAATGTCTTATGTGCCTCCACATGCCTTACTCCACCCCAGCTACTGTCAGTCCCCACGTGGCTCCCCTGTGTCCTCTCCCCAGAACTCGCCAGGTGAGTCCACCTGCAGCTCACAGTGAATTCTCTGAGGAGTGAACCCAAAGTCAAATGTTCTGTTCTTCACCAAGGACAGTAAAGGAACACGTCAGGTGCATCGTCAGTGTCAGCACAGGGACATCTTCTGGGGCGCTTTCCGTGGGCATGTTTCCATGGGCACCCATTGCGACAGGAAGATAATGACATTGCAGACTCGAAAGATGAAGGTTAGCAGTGTGACATAGTCAGATACAACATTTGCTTGTCATTATGTCGTGCCTAATATGCCTTGGAAGAGATTCGGGTACAAAATACTGTGTTAACTTTTTGGATTTGAAAAGTTCTAGTTAGGAGACTGATTCAATGAATAATAGAAAGAAATCTTTGCTTTTAAGAAATAATACAGAATTAAAAGTGGTCAGTGTAATGGACTTGGGTAGTTTTTCCCTGCAATAGTCACTCCCTGCACTAGAGAGGACGACGGAGACCCCTGGGCAGATAAAACATGTGCTAGCTGAAACAAGTGGAAAATTTTAAGTTCATCTTCTCTTTGAAAAGGTATGTTGTGAATGAAGGAGTGAATGGATGACCAAATGAATGAACGAAGGAATGGTCTAAAATGCAGCTTAGCAAATAAGTTTTTTAAAGGAAAGTAATCACAATGTTGGAAGTCAGCTGTATTTGTCCTCATTATAGACAATGTATTGTTCACACTTTAACAGCTATCAGAATTTAAAACGATTTTAATAGAAATCCAAACTCCATATGTATTACTAAAAGCTGCTGTCTATGTTCTTTGATATATAACATGTGTTTTCACATATTGTTGTGATAATGAAGCTACAGCCTACCACAAACAGGAAAAGGTCTATTAATTTGTTCATTTAACACAGATTTATTGAGCATCCATCTATGATCCAAGCACTGAACTAAACCCTGGTGCTACAAAGATGAATAATACACTCTCTGCCTTTGAAGGCTTCATAGTGGGCCAGTGAGTCAGCAAATGACCCTGTCGAGCTCCGTGGTTAGCCCTGTATTGAAGAGATGTGTGGGAACACAGATGTGGGAGCAGTTCTTTTTTTCAGACCCAGGGGTGGGTGTTTAGGGAAAGATGAAGACAGCAGGTATGAAGGGGAGCCTTGCAGAATGAGGAGGGGTCTCCTGGGTGGACCAAAGGAAGGGGCCGTTCTAGGCACAGAAGCATGAAAGTAGTTTAGGGCAGGCTGACAGATACAGGTGAAGGCAAGTTCTCCAAGCTCAGGTTGGAAAGATAGACTAGGCTCAGTTGGTCATCGATGCCTTATTTTGTAGTCTATGTGGAGCCACTAAAAATTTACAAACAGAGGGATATCCTGTTTTACAAAGATCAGTTTGGTGGTGATACAGAGAATGGATTAGAAGATGAGAGACTAGAATCAGAGAAACTATTTTGGAGGCTGTTGTATAAACCAGATGACATGCTAAAGGGCTAAATGGCGGTAGAGAAAAGGAAAGTACTTCATAAGACGTGGAGGCTGTAGAGATACCAGGACTTTGAGTCCAGGTAAGGAAGATTCTGAGGTCCTCTCCATCCAGATTGCAAGGCAGATGGTAACAGCATTTACCAAGAAAGGAAAAAGATTAGACTGGAGAGGAGGGGGGAAATGAGTTTGGTTTGGACATATGTTGTTGAGGAATCTTTGGAGATATCCAGACACAACTGGAAAAGACAGTCATGGAGCTCAGGAGGGTGTGGCTAGGAATACAGGTGCGCTGGTGGCGGCTGAGTGCGGAGTGTAGATGGAAGGAACCAGGGAAGAGTCGTCTGTGGAAATAAGCGAAAACAGAAGATGGTAGCATGTGGAACTCCAGCATTTAAGGGAGGGGCTGAGACAGAGGAGCAAGTGAAGGAAAGAGAGCCAGAGGGTTTTGGAAGAGAGTTGGAGAAGTGCTTGGTGGGAAGCCAGGTTTCAAGGAGGAGAGGGTGGTTAACAGGGCCAGATTTTCAAAGGCTTCAAGAGGGATGAGGCCTGAGAAGAGGCCACTAAATTTGAGAATCAGGAAATTGTATGTGGCCTTTGCCAGAGCAGTTTTCATGAAACAACAGGTTTCAGACTGGATTGTGGCCAGAGGATGTCAAGTAGAATCCAGGGCTGTGGAATATTCTTTTCATGAAGTATGAAAGAAAAATAGGACAGTCCTTAGAAGGAGGAGAGGAGTTAAGGAAGGGGCTGTAAGACGGGGAAGTTGAGCATGTGTGTGTGCAGAGGTCAAAGCACGTGGGCGGAGCAGTGGCACTGAACACAGCACAGGCCGTGGGCAGGAGGACCCTGGAGGCCAAGGCACAGGTCAGCTTTGGAACCAAGTAGGGACCCCTATTTTGATGATACAGGATGAAAAGACATAAGTATATGACACTACAGGTAAGTTTAAACATCACTTCAAAGTTTGATGCCAAAGTCTGGGGAAGAATTGATAGAATTCACATTTAGCCTTTGTCTTTGTCAACTGTGTGTGACTTTGGGCTGTGTCCTTCCTCCCTGACCTTGCATTTCTTTTCTGTAAAATGGGAATAATAATAATCACCTCTCATGGTTGTTTGGAGACCACCTCATTAGAGAACACCATAGCAAACATCCAGGAAATATTAATTTATTCCTTTTTTGTTCTTTTTTGGAAATAGGATTCCGAAAAGTATTGTTTTCCGATATTTGAACCACCAACCTGTTAACCGGGGAATTCCCTTTTCACTGTATGCAACGTTTGACGTATTTATACGTCCCGCTCGGTTAACAGGTTAATAACTGGAATATAGGAATCCATTTCTTCCTGTTTCGCAGAGCTGGCTGGTAGATGTTTAACCGTCCGCCGGGTCTGTCTTAACTGCACCGTGTGATGGAGTGTAAACGGGTTGTCTCGTTCCCGGAGGCTCCCTGCTTGAGGGACTGAAGCCGTGTGGGTTGTTACTAATTCCCATCAAGCTTCTCCTTGCCAGGCCTTCCCTGTGCCCAGCCTCCCTGAGAACAGCCGGACCTCCGCGTTAGTCTGAGCGCCCCTGAGGCACCCGCCTCGGCGGCTGGCCGAGCACTGTCTGGGACGAGTGTGAACATTCTCGGTGATGACCAGGTCGCTTCTTTTCTTGTCACATCGCAAGTGAACACGAATAACCCAGGGTGGTAATAAAATGCACTCTGGAAGCAGATTTCGAGTTATTTTCCAAAGACATGTAGAACCCAAATGGATCTAAATTGCTAGCAGTGCTTGTGGTGGTTTTAATTTTCGGGCAGAATCATCTCCATATTTCTGGCCTACTCTGGTTCAGTGGGCTTCATTTGATCTTAGGATTGGGATGCGCTGCTTGGTATCAATGGAAGTAGCTCTAAGTAATCCCACATGATAGACGGCAGGGCGAGCTAGCCCCCTTCACCCCGCAGAGCAACCCTCTGTGTCTTGGAGCAAAATAGCCTCTCCTTCTACCAGTTTGATTTCGAAAGTCTTAGTGAAAACACTTCAAAGAGGTTTTTGAAAGTTGTCTGATCCTTCTTGTGACTAGAATTTCATCCCTTTGAGTGGTGTGGGAATAATGTTGTGAAAATGACGACAATAATAAATTTTAATGATCCTTTTTTCAGAACGTCTAAGAACCTGGTAAGCTTTCCACACGTATCCTCATTCCAAGCACATTTACATGTCTTTTCGCGCGCAGGAGAGAGAGGGGCTTTGGAAACGTTGACTCACTGCTTTCTGCAGCTGTGAGAGCACTCACCTAAAATTTGTCAACATTTTGGAATGTGAAGGTTTGTTTTTCTAGGACCGTTATAATGCCAGTCCCGACCTTAGCTGTGCCAGAAGGAAAAGATCTTTCCCAACACCATATGGTTTATTATGTCAAGTATGGGACGCAGAAGTTGATTTAAGGACCTTTTGTAAAGCTGCACAATTCTAGGAATTTAAATGCAGCCAATGCCTAATGTAACTAACACTGTTGGAGATGTGCTCACTCATGTGGCTTGTTCGTGGAACCAAAGCTACGAGTGCACGGAGGCTGCGTCGTGGTTTGAGGGGATCACGGCACAGTGCTGCTGTTCCTCGGCTGGAATGGGACTGTCTGGAGGTGCAGCAGCCCAGGTCACCCCCGGCAGCAGAGACGGAAGAGCCGCCTGGTCTTTCCTGCAGGTTGTCTTGAGGGCGTGGGGTATGGAGGGAATGACTTCTCCTAACACACAGTGCGTCTCCTCAAGGACCCTCTCTCCGAAGTCTTAGCATCTCAGCTGCTGCTTATGTCATCTCTGGTTCTTTTCAGAAACATTCTCTCCCGGTCTCTCTTCCTCCTTTCCTCTCGTCCACACCCCCCCTCACCCCCCGCCCCATATCCCATCGTCCCCATGGTCCCTGAAGTCGCTCTACACTTGTTTATAGAAACGGGGTTCTATCCCTTCTCTTTGCTCAGCCCCACAAAAGTGATCTGGGAACCAAGTGGGGCAAAGGAAGGTGCTCCCTGGTGGGTGAACGGGCAGTTGTGATTCCAGGAGTACCTCTCTGTCACAGTAGAGGGGTGTGGCGCCGGTGGCGCAGGTGGTCTCCCTGGCCTCCCCCATGCTGTCAGGGAGGCCCTCCGCTTTCCCCTTTCACCGAAGTGCTTCCAGTTGCCAGTGCTTTGAGAAGTCAGACTATCCAGGTGATTTAGAAAAAATAAATAAATAGTATGTAAATGAAAACATGAGCAAGCTCCAAACAGTGCCGGAGGGCCTTTTACGACTCTCAGAGAATAAAGCAAACATGTGAAGGCTACAGTGCTGTGCTTTGTGCCAGCTATTTTGGAGGTGTGTGTGTGTGCATGTGCGCGTGTGTGTGTGTGTGTGTGTGTGTGCTTGTTCATTCCTGTAATTTCCATTGTTGAGCTAGGTTCCAGAAGATGGAGTAGTCC